ACCAAAATCCGACCCACTTGATATTGCAACGGCCGAAATCGATTTCATGGGTTGAACGGGCATTGGGACACCGTACAAGGCACCAGTAACAATATTGTAGATACCGGTGAAAATCAAGGTTGTGCCAAGATCAAGGTCCTTGGCAAGGGTCAAGGCCAAGACTATAGGAATGTAAGTGCCCAAGTCTCCCGTGGCGCCGTTGACTTCTGCCCATTTTGATCGGAAAGCCAAGTTGTTTTTGAGTTTGTGAAGTATGGTGGGGCTTGAATGGGTTGCTTGAGAATCCATGCGAGCTGCTGATTATGGAGAATGAGAAAAAATTATCTGATATGTGTGTATGTAGGTGGTTGACTGTCCTTTGGGATAATCGAAGGCCGTTAGAGGAAGAAAGATTCGCGCCGCTGCTTGTGGATTGCCCGTTGACGCTATTATATTTTATTATTCCCCTACGCATTGGCTGGCTGACCTCAGCCGAATTGATTACTTATAAAATTTAGGTTTAATACCCAATTTGGTCCCTAAACTTTCTTTTTGGAACTTAAGTTGTCCTTTAACTTCAGAAAGCACCTGAATCATCCTTAAACTTTATTTTTTTGGGACTCAAATGGTCCTTCTGTCACGGAATTGCATACCTGTAACGGTTAGATCTCCACCAATTACCTCTTTTAATTTTCACAAGCTTACGTGGATAATACACCTCACCCATTGATGACATGGCAATATCCAGCCCTGTAAATAAAATCGCAGAGTAACTTGATCAGAAACAGAGTTTTTTCGCTTTTGGATCTGTTTAAGTCAGGTAAGAGCTCGATTAGGACGCAGACGGTGTTGGACTCTTTCGCCTTGAATCGGCTCTTCTTTGACGTTTCTAAGATCTGGATTAGAAACTCCAGTGCACATGAACTCGCCTTGCTGCAAATCTCGTTGGAAACCAACTCTAACAGAGATTTGAAGAATCTATGCCTTAATCTTGAAGCAAGAAATTCCAATTGTAACTGGAAGTAGTCTTTGCCATTTTCCTGAAAATCGTTAACGCATGGAGCCTCGCTTCGGCGCTTCCTCTTTGAAGGATAATTGCCATTGATTTCACGCACTCTGTTTTTGACAAAATTTTGAATGTATTGTTTTGATCCTCCGACAACGAAAGCTTCCGCAGAACGCCGAGCACCTCTTCGTACGCTTGGAACGTGACGAAATCAAGAACGTCGATTAGAATTTGAAAGATTATTCAAGCAAGAATTTCAACGCCATTGAATCGAATGAAATCTGATTTAGTCTCGTCCCTAATTTCGACAATGGATCAGAGCTTTTTTAAGGCGGTGAACTTAAACGGAGAGGATTCGACTGTGTTGAGGAGGAAGACCAGCTCGTCGTGCTTGGCGGAGAATGGCAGAGGTGGAGGAAGAGATGAGGAAGATTGAGTGTTCTGCCAGGAGAGAATGAGTCGCTTGAGGGTGTGATTGGGAGTGAAGTGGAAGCAGTGGACAAATTACATGGTACCTGTTTTTTTGTTTTATTTTATTTAGAGGGTTGGATATTGCCATGTCATCAATGGGTGAGGTGTATTATTCACGTAAGCTTGTGAAAATTAAAAGAGGTAATTGGTGGAGATCTAACCGTTACAGGTATGCAATTTTGTGACAGAAGGACCATTTGAGTCCTAGAAAAATAAAGTTTAAGGATGGTTCAGGTGCTTTCTAAAGTTAAAGGACGACCTAAGTTCCAAAAAGAAAGTTTAGGGACCAAATTGGGTATTAAACCTAAAATTTACATTTTATTTTATTTTTTAATATTTACTGGTAGAATAAATTAATTTAATAAAAAATTTATTTAATTTGTATGCCAAATATATAAGTTGAAAATATAATATATGTATTTTTTATAATTAATTTATATAAAAAATAATAAATATTAATATTTATTATTTTTTATATAAATTAATTATAAAAAAAATACCTAAGTGCGTGACTGTCCTTTGGGATAATCGAAGGCCGTTAGAGGAAGAAAGATACGCGCCGCTGGTTGTGGATTGCCCTTTGGCGCTATTATTTTATCATTCCCCTACGCATTGGCTGGCTGACCTCAGCCGAATTGATTGCTTATAAAAATATTTATTGGTAGAATAAATTAATTTAAT